CATAGTTTTAGTCTAAATAACTATTTAACTAGAATTTCGCCTTGCGCCTTATCTGAAAATTAAATGAAGTTATAATTTATTTAATGAGAACCATGTAACTTCTTCTAAGTTCAAAACACTAATTTAATTTTTAGTTGCAACTTTAACTGTTTATTAATCACGCGCATGTGAAATAAATTGTAAGGGAACCTGGATGTCTAAAGAGTAATAATATTTCGAAAACATGTGGAATCCGTCAACAGGCACTGGAGCACTAAACTTATAGAAGCTTTAAATATTTTGGCAACTTTATTCCTAGTAGAATATAGTAAGCAAGCATGCGTGGCAAGGCCACGCTGCAGCTTTACCACGGTAAACTGTGAACTCTGTGCTTGTTTGTCACCCTAATGTAATAAAAATATTTCTCAAATTACAAAAAAGTGGAAACATTCTTAAATTTGATAAGTTCAAACAAATTTTTTGGGGAAAGAAAACGATAAACACAGTACTTTATTTCAAGACAACCTTTATTCTCTTTAAAAATAAATAAGTCAACAGTAGGGCGAACTCTTTGAGTTATTTTAAAATTTATAGTAACAAATCACTTCTTACTCATAAATTAAATTACCTAATCATTTTTCGATTCCATTTTCACCAAGATCAGTCGGTAAGGCTAGCAGAAATGTTTAAAAAAGACACTCGTTTATAAGAACTTGGAAGCAATGACGCTATGCCATACGAGTCATGTATGATATGGTAGATTTTAAATGATATGTTAATGTGCGACATAGCTTAATCTATAAAAATGATAAAAAATTGTTTTTAATCGTACCAAATATATTGGATCGTATCTAATCTAACAACCAGTAACAGAATAAATAAACAACCTATTCAATACATAAGAGTGAAATAAGAGCTAACTGCGGAACCGATAAATAACACCCATCAAATTGTTAATTTCAATCATAAGTGCCTTTGAGTGTATTAATGTCCTCCAGACCGAATTTTGGTCACGATGAGCAGTCTTAACAGAGACTGACCATCTAAGCAGGACAGGATTATATTGCCAAAGTTTATAAGCAAGCACAAGCACACACTATTCCCTCACTTTCACAGCCCGATGGAACAGTGATCAGACACGACCGGAGAGAGATCAGGCGCAGGACCAACGGCTTTACGTGCTTTTCTTGCGCGGGAGTGAAACACCGTTAACTTTCTGCCTCCGCTCTGTTACCGAGAATTTTTTGTCAATAATCCCACCAACATATTCTTGGCCTAACCCGGGATTCGAACTCTGGACCGCATGATCAGCAATCGCTTTTACGGCCACTAGATCAACGAAACAGTGTTCATTTACCACTTATTCGGCGGTGAAAGAAAACATCGTGAGGAAACCTGCACGTCTGAGGAATAAAACATTTTGAAAACGATGATGTGCATTCCTCAAAATATTTTATTACTAGGTGGAAGGAGTGTGCGGCAGGTGGTTCTAATAGGTTGTGAGAGTTTTTTTCTGTCTAGATGTTAGCCTGCCAAACCTACTGCTTACTCTGCCCCTACGTTGCAGTGTTGCATTGCTGCTTTCTAGTCTGAATGGTACAGAAATCCAGTACAATTACGGGCTGTTAGGCACTCCATCTTCTTTCTCAGAGATAACAATTCATCTGTAGCCTTTTTGCTAAAAATGCAGGTGTCCATACACTAAAGTAGCCGCTGACCATTAGGTGAACTATTATGTTCGTTTCTCATTTCAGATGTATATTTCAAAAAAAATCTGCCAACTAGTAACAACTAGAATAGCGCAGCGGATTGATTGTGTTATTGCATATGCATCCAGTGGGACGGTTATGGGTTTTGGTTTACATAAGTAACTATTGTTAAGTAAGAGATCAACGTATAGTACCTTTCTAGGATTTAATATATTTTAAAGGATGGGGTGACACACTACCATACAGTCCACCTGATGATAAGTGAGAGATGCCGTAGTCCATAGAAATCTAAATTTATTTTCGATTAAGAATCAAAATGCAGATGCGCTGTCATCTGATTGATGCCATGTTTTCAGTAAAAAGGGTCTACGGTTTTCTACACTCACCACACGAAACACAGCAGCATATAGCTGCTATTTTAGTGTGGATCTACATACACTTTTTTACGTGGTATAGGCACTCGAGAGTAGAGAATAGCTCTGTGTAGAGCTAACTACAAAGTACTAAGTTTTAAAATTAATTTTAATTTTGAAGAAAAAAAACTCGTTTTATAATGCGAAGAAATAAATTAAGTTAAATATTTAAGAAACATTTATTTTAGGTCGTTTATTTATTGCTTTACAGGTTGTATATAAAACCAAAAGAGGGTTTTCTTGATTCGTAAGTAAATAATACGATATTGTGTTTATGATACGTCTAAAATATTCAGCGATAAAGGCTAATTAAAGAATTTTACCCCATTCCTGTCCGTGTCGTACAAAATGAAAGTATCAATCATGAAATTTTGTGTCTATTTTGCGGACAGGAAAACTGTTAATCAGATTGCATTAGTAACAAGATAATGTTATGAATCCTAAGTTGACGTTTAATTTAAGAAGTTGTATTTTATGAAACTGTTGCCTGTAGCAAAACTGAAATCCACAAGCGTTATCACTGGATCTTTTAGTATGGAGAACTTCGTGGTAACATCTTTCTACTTACAGTACAAGACCTTGTTTTTATTTTTTTACAACACAAATAACTAACCCTTAGCTGACAGATTCAAAAATGAACCAACAATTAAACTACCAGTGACTCTCCCAAGACGACTTTAAACTATACAATTCAAAGTAAAAACTATTTACAAATCAAAAATACATTTTTACAGATAACGACGACTCCATTTACTTACTGTTTTAATTAACAAATAAATTATTATCTAGAGTTCGTAGACATGTAAAAAAGTGGCAAAGAATCAGTCGCTTACAACCTATTATTTACATCACAAAGATTTATTGTTGAAACAAAAATTACAGTTTAAATTCTTCAATTTTTAAAATCACGCGATGAGTATTTGATTTCGCTTAAACGGATCCGTTTAATCATAATGATTCACTTCCGAGGTGACTCGAATGGTAGGAAATTGTTGAAATCGGATACTCAACGAGTGAGTAAAAGAATTGCGATAAAATGATGGTGGCCTCTACCTATTTAATTTACATTTACATAGGACAGTGTTTGTGAAATTATAGCAGCACAACGGTTTTGAGTATGTACTTTGCCCGTGTCACGAGTCACGATTAAGGACGTATGCGATGTTATTACGAAAGCTGATTTGTTTTATTCTTAAAGTATGTAATATTTTCAAACTATTGATTAAGAAAAAATATTTGAATAGTCATAGGGTCGTAGAGCTCAATTTTGTGGTTTTAACAAGAAAAGTAGTCGATGACATTTTGTCTTTCCAATCGTCGAAGTGAATTAAGTATTAAATGTTGATTGTATATTCTCAAAAAAAATTGAATACACAAAAATTTCTTAGAAGATATCAAATAATAATTTTTCATACCGCAAATATTATTTATTTTTCTACACGATTAATTAAATCTTAAAAAATATTAAAGAAAATTTAATATTCTAAATTTAATTAATAATCTAATTTAATAATAAAATTTAGTAATGATGAGTGATGACAGCATGAGGAAAATCCATAGTTCCATTTCGTGCCTCGAGTGTTTTAAGAGGCAACAAAATAGGAAAAAAAATAGGGAATACTACAGACTTTATGACCTCTTTAGAACCGTGGTAACTAAGCGCTAGCAGTAAATTTTACCGTACGTGAGCAACACGGATTCGATCCCCGCCGTCACCAATGAAATTCTAGTTGCAACTATTAACTTACTTACCACGCTGATTAAAACTACTTTTACGGATTTTATCGCGTTTAGTTTTTAATGATTTTTAATTCTAGACGTTACCGGATTAACATTGTCATTGGGACGTCAGAAAAAAGGTGAAAAAACGTCGGGAATTAAAAATAATTTAAAATTAAACGCGATAAAATCCGTAAAAGTTGTTCTAATCAATGGGTGCGTTTGGCAGAAAAAAGCGCTAGCAAGCGCTTGTAAGCAAAATGGCGATCGTAAGCGGTAAGCGCTGTCAAATCGTAAGTAGCTATTTTCCTCTAGGACACGAATTTAGTTTTAACCGGGGAACCTAACCTAATTTAAATATATGTTTATGAAGTATTCATATTAAAAACTTACCAATCATGAATTTTTAATAACATTTATATGTCTATTCATGTTAAAACTAATATTGCAAAAAACAACTTATAAACTCTACATCAAAACAAACAAATTAAAGAAGCAAAATGGCGGATTGTGTCAGCGCTACTGAAGTAGCAATCGTGTCCTGGCCGAAAACTATTTTAGCGCTAGTAAGTGCTTGCTAGCGCTTTTTTCTGCCGAACGCACCCAATGTGTAGTGTTCGTGTAAATATAAGAAATCATTATGACTTACCACGTGCTCGGCGGTAAAAAAGAACGCGAGGAAATCCCCAATTATAAGAAATTAAAAAAATCGGAAACGTGAAGTACGCTGATATTAAATGGGGCAGGGCAATGAACATCCTGCTCTAAAACTCTCTTAGAAACGAGGGTAGGTATTGCGTGGCAGGGAGGATGGCGACCGAAGTTTAGTCTAAGGAAGACGCCGCTGCCCAACTCATAGTTCGTTGCTCCCTGTCGTCTCTTTGGACACCCGCGAGACAATACGAGAAGAATACACAATAACAATTACAATATATATTTCTTTGTAAACGCCTTCGTAGTTCTATCACTGCCCTAAGGTCGACTTGCAGAAGTTGAAGAAGATGCTTTTAGCATTAAGTCCGCCTTTTATTCCAGTATTTGACATGTTAGGTTCAATATATTTTAAATAAATATAATAATAACCAAAAATTTAATTTAAAGCACGTTTATGTATGATAAGTTAAATAATACGTCATTAAAACTGACATCGTGACACAGGCTTGCCGAGCTTTGTATTTCACTAGACGCACGACTCCGGGATCCGATTGTCTAGAAGCTTCTCCTTTATAGCGTCGACGTTGAGGTCAGCTGTCCGCAACGTGCCGGACGCGCTACGAGGTGCCCACGTGCTTACCTGTGACAAAAGAATTTAATTAAAAAAAATTGTAATTTGTAAATACAAAGTTGAACAAATTCGAAAAAAGCTTATATTATTTGGAGATTATTTTATTCGTTGTAGATATTTGAATCCGAATTTTCAATTACAGCCTGTAAAAGCCCTCTGTTGACAGCAGCGTCTTGTAGTAATGACTAAAAATAAAAATAAACTACGGTTGCCAACCCTCTTGTCAAGTGTGGCAACTACAGCAAAGTTCCCCCTAAGAGGAAATCTTTGGGGAGACTTTGCCATAATTGCCACACTTGGCAGGCGGGTTGGCAACCACAGTATTTTACAATTTTGAGTCTGCCCATCTCCTGTTTCAGTTTCCCTCTGTCGTCTAGTACGACACAGGGGACGATATGGGGTAAAGGGTATTCTTAAACCGCTACTACACGAATTTTCTGAAATTTTTTTGATTGGTTGGCATGGTTTTTTGATTTTATAGAAGTCGAATTTTACTTTTTATTAAAAGTTGTTTTTAACTGGCAACAACGTATCCATTTTTGTCTTCATAATGACAACGTGCTTTTTAATTTTTAACCGACGAAGACTTAGGCCTGTGTGGGATAGAATTATTTCATCGTGAACGACTTTGGGTTAGTAGTAACAGACATGATACGAAAAACAAACGTGAAGTTATATTTTAGTACACACAATCGTTTTTAAACTCTGACAACAGCTAAAGTAAAATAATACGGAAACATGCGCTTTGTTACCGAAAGTTTCTTTAATTGCAATGAATATTTTATGGCAATATTCGCAGAATTTGCATTGTAATGAAAGTGATTCCGTTGGCTTACTCGATGAATATTTTTTACATATTTCATGCTTCATATCTGAAAGTATAAGTAGACACCACTCTAGTCTGTACTTGTAAAGCGTCGCAAAATATTGATAGCTTTATGTAATAAATACAATAAATAGGTGAAGCATTAAATGGACTGATATCCGATTTCGATAAGGAAAGGTATGATTTCAAACTCGAAACAGTCTCTGAATAAGATTTTAAGTTGCCATTTAAGCCTTTCCCTCCAAGTGATTGCGGAAATGTAAAAAAATAACTCAATGAAAGCTAACAGCCGACTTCGAAGTACTTACCAGAAAGAATAAAATAATTTCCCATTAGGAATCGGGGCTTTACTACTTCCATACACTAAATCTCAGCACCGACTCAAGAATGTGAGATTTTTATCCTATTTTTAGTTATTTAAAGTATGCTTTGACTTTTTATTAAAGGGTAATTTTCTAAATCCAATAAAAGAATAGAGCGGATTGCGGTAATGTGTCCATCCAATCAATGCTGTACGCGTTTCCAGTTTACTTGAGTGCGGGGTGTGGCCCAGACCGCATTACATCAGCTCGATGTCGATACTATCGCCCTAAAACCCATTGGATTGTCTACCCTATTGTCGAGGACTCGATAAAGTTCAATTGGAGCGAACTTAAAGCTGACACGCTAAAGGAGTGTCAATAGACAGTTTATAAGAAAATATCGTCAAGAAAAAAACTACAAAATGCCGGGTTCTTGGTGAAGTGGCAACTGTTTGCTTATTTGTACAAATGTGCGGGTTATCACTATTGGGTTTACGGCTATTCTTTTACGAGTAAAATAGTATTTACTATTGGGAATAAGGTGATCGTCACCAAGCTGTTTCTTATTTGTTTTGTGTTAATTGTGGTACATTTATGATTATAAACTATTTTTTTAAATATCCCGCTGGGTATCTTGTTGGTTCTTTGTGAACCTGTAGTGAATTATATGTATATAAGAATGCCTTTCAATAAGTATTATTTATAAACTAGGTATATTGGATAAAAGTTATTATAATGGTTTCTTATGTTGATTTATTATCACAGTCTTCAACATGACCATGGGTGAGTGCTTGAAACGACTGAAATATAAAATAAATTAATATAAGAGATAAAATCAGTAAAAAAACTAGATTTGTTTAATAAATATTTCTATTTCAATATCTATAGTGAAGTGAAATAATAAATGACCATCTGGCAGCGAAGTAAAATAATTCATTACTTCATTTTGTCTCGTGGTATTTGAAAGAGGTAACTATGGGATATGCCAAAAAGATGGCAACGGTAAGCGACTATGTACCATCTAGTATACATCTGCCGTGCCTACGGGATTAGCGTCAAAGATGCGAATAATCTGATAGTGATCATCAATACGTCTGCTGAGCCAAGTTTGACGGTTTTGTGGTCAAAAAATTGCAGAGCTGAGATGCGTAGGTTCAAATACCGCACGAAACAAATATCTTGTGCTACCCCCACAAAAGAGGTGAAAATCATAGTCAGGAGGGAACGTTTTAAAACAAAGCGTAACGTTTAAGGGAAATTCTATGGGATTTAATCTGGATTTGCGCCTCTCCTCAACCTTCTCCTCTCGTGAGAGAAGAGACCCAAATCCAGGGAAAACATTATTTTATATTTTATAATGATATTTTTTATAGAAATAGGATGACAAGCGGGCCTACAGTCTACATGATGTTATGTGTATGATCTGGTCCATATACGTCTTCATGTATCCTTGATTAAAGTTTAAAATGTAGATGCGTTGTTACCCCTTAGGATTGTGCTTGCTTGAATGCTTTGTTTCTAGTAAAAAGGGTCTCTGATTCTCTATGCTCACCATACGGAATACGACAGCATTAAGCTGCTATAACTTTTGTATTATATAAGAGTGAATCGCGGTTGAGCCGACTCAGTCCTGCTACAAACACAATATAGCCTTCATCTTCAAAGTTTTCTATTGCTATAACAATCGTAGAATGGCATCTTGGCTAAACCTGAAGTTACTCTTGAATTGCGTATATTTGGAGTGGTTCACGACAGTGCTTGAATGACGAATTCGAACCTACAACTTCAGAGTTTGTGGTCCGTTCACCAATATTACTGTAGCTTTTATTTATGGGCCCAAAAAAGATGAAAGAATACCTTCCAATGCACATTAAAAAGGGGGCTAAGTAACAGTAGTAAGTAACAGGCGATGGAAAAGGCCAGAAAGACAACATAACTTTCATCAACATAGATGGTTTTTGTTTTTTCTTTGTTTTTTTTTAATGTGATAGAGCCATTCTGCAGGTATATTATAGTTGGTGCACGAGTGGATCGAGACGACCAGGAGGAAAGAACACGCTCTCACAGAAACCATCGTAAAATAGTAACTAAATGCTAATGTGTTTCTTACGGTGATTGTGGAGAACCTTAGTCCTGAGGGTGGCAACGAAGCTATATATTGATTCTTTATCGAGGATAGATGTAGATGTCTACGAGCGCAGCATCCACTTACCTACTACTACGGTGATCTGTGTGCTAATTTTTCACTTTTATTTCATAAAAAATCGAGTGAAAATTTGGGACTTTGTAGTTCTAATCATTCTAACTTTTCCTATTACTCACTTTATACGACAACCACGGAACGAAATTTTTTACACTTCATATTTTTTTTCCTTTTGACCACGCACAGTAAAATACTAGGAAGTAGTTAGTGATCCTACTACTTCACTATAAGACCACATTCTTAGCTGGAACAATCATTAGTCTAAAATTTTTCATCTGTGTCTGTTTTTGTTGTAATCGTCCATTCACTTTTGATACTGGGTCGTTACCTATCGATGGTTTATCGAATAATCGTTAGATCAAATTTGAGTAGGTTATACTTGCTCGTAAGTATCCCTTACTTGGTCATCAAATTATAACATTTGGGGGAAATTGGTGAGGAAGACATTATTAATATCCAAATATTATGACAACTTAGAACTATTGACAATAGATGTTGCAGGGTTCAAAATAGTTTTATATGTACGTACCGGAGTGGCTAAAGGTGTTGTTAATGGAACAACGAGCGGTGCTGTCAGTGGGGCAGTTAGCGGGGCGGAGATAGACGTGGGCGTAGTGCGCGCAGGCACGGCTGATGATTCACCTGCAAACAGAAAGTTTAGTCTAAGTGGTAAAGTCGAGAAGAAGAAGATGGGGGAGGAAATATGCTCTGCCAGGCAGGGGCTTCATGAGGCGGCCGGCACCTTTGGGGCTACGGATGTGTGTGAAACCGTTCCTGTGGCCCTTCCAATATGCGGCGAGGGATTGAGCACCATAGGGTAATGAAGCCTGCATAGTCGTAGCACGAATGGATCGGTTCAACCGTAAAAGGCCATACTCTCACAGAATGCCAGTGTAAAATGGCAATATATTGCTGCTATGTTTCTTATGGTAAGTGTAGAGAACCGGAGACCTTTTTAACTGAAAACGATGCATTCCATCTTAGTACTCAGGGTTGACAACGCATCTACATTTTTATATTTAATTGGGGATAGATATAGATGTATATGGGCGACATTAGCCTAATACCATCAGGTGGACTGTGTGCTCGTTTCCCACTTTTACTTTATCAAATTTTTGAAATTTTATTAATACGAGTTTGAAGTGAATGTGAATACTTGAAGTGCGATTTGCAACTCGTATTAGGTTTGGACGGATGCCCTTTTTTGCTGCAAAAAATGATGATACAAAATTCTCCTTTTCTGCCTATAAATAGCAGTGCTTGTACTATTTGTGTTTCAAGCTATGAGGTAAAAACATTAATTATAATTAAATGCTGTGAGGCATTCCATTTTATTCGTCAAGGGTGACCATCCATCTATGGCCTTCTTTGTTTAGTCTGTTGCAGATGTACATGGACTGCAGTAGCCACTTACCATCAGGTAGACTGTACGTAGATTTTTCACTTCAGTTTTATAAAATAATACATGAAAATTGCGGCTTCTTCTATTAGTCTCGTGCAGGCACCGACCTAAATACCACAAATAGGTGACCGGTCTTAACCAGCCGTCTTTCTACGCACTAGTTGTCTACCGACGCAAATCCGCATGTGCCCGACTACTATCAACGCCGGCTAACAACACTCAAAGGCGGTACCTCTTTCACCTGTTTTCTACAACCGTCAGTAAATTATAAGTAGAAACCTTAAAAATACAATACGTGCTTCGTAACTGACCGAGGCATCCTCTCTAAGTGAGCGGCGAGCCAAAACAGCTGCTATTTGTATAACTCACTGACGCAACGGGTCCGCACTTAAGTAGCGAGTGACCGCGTAATGTGATAAAACATACGACCAATCACCACTTATTGTCGTATTATCGTTGGTGTCTTCCCTAGTGTGTTGGTAGTAGTGGTGCTGACATAAGTGGTGACGGAGATAGTGCATGTAATTGATGAGTCGAAAGGTGCTCTTCAAACTAGGTAAGATATCATTTTTATTTCATTGAGCGGTTGTTGGCGAAGTAATTCTTACCAACTTTAATTTATTGTAAATATTTTTAAACCTTCATATTTTTCGTATAAAATATAACCTAGAAATTAGTATTACTCTCTATCTGTTTGTAAAGTTTCATCACTTTCATCTGCACCACATTCAGCTATTCCGAAAATTAGCTCGAATGGACAGACAGATGGAAAACATTTTAAAGATGGTTGTTTATTTCTTATTATTATCGTTACATCCTCTTAACGTCCACTGCTGAACAAAGTCCTCTTTTATTAATTACCTCATAGGGGGATATTTATTATAGTTATCACGCTTGGCAAGCTAGTTGGCAACAGCAGTCTTTCATTTTTAGTCGTTATAAAGTAGACGCTGCAGCCTATCTCCTGTTTTGTTTCCCTCTGTCGCCTCTTACGACTCCTACAGAATGATAAATATATCCACTTTACCCCATGGTAACACGGTGTAACAATATCCACTATTTTACCACCGCCAACACACGTTAAATTTATGTATTAATAGTACAAATAACTCCCTGAACTAAATAGAATCCATTTCTTTCCATATTTCAGACAGAAATTAAATTTTAATTTATATTTATTGGCAACAAAATATATATCTACACGAATAATAGAGAAAAAATTTAATCTCTTAGTAATCCATTATACTCACAATTTATTTAGAAGAAAATATTTACGAAAATTTCTTGTACAGTCTACTAAAGAAATATGTATTATACTTAAATCTAAGCTTTTGTTATTACACATCATCATATTATCTTTATAATCTAGATAAAAGGAAATATTTGTCTTGTCTACTCGTAAACAATATGTTTTTAAAGGGCGTTTTACACAAAAGTATTACTTTTATACACAAAGTAACGGAACCACGCAGTGGATTAGCAATGAGCTGCAGCGCTAAAGGTTGCGAGCTCGAAACCTGCACAAAACATGTATTTGTATGGCCTACAAATAATTGTTCCGGGTCTGGATTTTTATTTTTTATGAAATGTATGTATGTTATTTTAATCGTAGAGTGGCAACGTATTTTATAAGCAACATAAATAAAAAAACCTGATTAACCAAAATATTCCAGTACATCAAAAAGCTAAAGTGACAATGGGCTAACGATATAGCTTGAAGAACCGTCAATGGTGAGGAAGATAACTTTTCGAGAGACAGCCTCTAACCAATAAGCAAAGCGTAGGGCGGCCACCCACTAGATGGAGTGACAACCTGACAAGAGACCTGGCAAGTCGAAAGCGTTGGTTGAATTGTTAGTCCGCAAACAATATGAATTCGGTCCCCAACGGCAACAATGTAATTGTTTATTGCAATTTTAAATGTTAATTTAACACGTGCTCGGCGATAAAGGAAAACATCGTGAGAAAACCTGCATGTCTGGGATATAAAGTTATTTATAAGGAATTGCGCCAACATATTGGACATAGAAAACGCGGTAGAGGAAATGCTTTAAAATTTCATCACGTGGGTTTCGTAATAGGCAAAATAGGAAAATGAATCACAAGCTGTAATCGGCGTTTCCTGATAACATCTCCAAAAAAAATGCATTTGCTAACGCGTCTACCTAGGGAGCAACTATGACAAATATCCATCCTGTTAGGCAATTTATGGGGGAGGCCTATGTTTAGCAAGGAATTGTTTATAGGCTGTAATTAATGAACGAAAGAATATTTGTCACGGTGGTGGCAAAAGAAAATCCATTCCGTCCTTTTGTCCTGGGTGTCGACAAATGCAATAATGGGAAATACCAGCAAAATACGGCTTTGTGTTGGCCTACGTGGTAGAGCCACGCTGCAGCTATAGTATGATTATGGCATGAATAGGTCGGCTCGATCGGGGTAAGATCACGTTGTCACAGAATACCAGCGTAAAGTAACAGCTTAACGCTGCTGTGTTTTGTATGGTGATTGTAGAAAACCGGATACACTTTTTTACTGAAAACGGGGCTTCCATCGTTGTTCTCAGCAGTGATTGCATTTTATTTTTAATCGAAGATAAATGTAGATGCCTGTGGGCCATCACGTGTGCTGCTCATTTGTCACCACAATTCCGTAAAATAAATAAAAACATTTTGTCTACACCAGACGCTTAATACTTAGACTGGTGACAGTTAACAACGTCAAAGGTGCAAGACTTCTGAAATTGCGATTGCCCATCCACATGTCTAGCGTTATCCATACTATAACAGGAGGGCCTATGCTACGATGTTGTAGCCGGTAAGCTTGTGGTAAATCAACACTTGACTACCTCGTCGGTCTAGTGCTCGTAAACATGTTTACTGATCATGAGGCTCGGAGTTTGATTTCCGGATGGAGCCAAAAAATTAGTTATTGGGTTTCTCTAACAAGAAATTTTCATTAGCTGTCTGGAGTCAAGAAGCTAGCGGTCTCTCAACCCCGTATCTTGGTAAGCACGCAAAGTCGTAGCTCCTACGCCTAATCTCTTTAACGTCGTGTCAGATTACCATCCCATCGGACTATGAGAGTGAGGGATTGGAGAGTGCATCTGTGCTTGCGCATACACTTGGGCACTAAAACCTTTTCTTAGCTATCTAGCTAGTCTCTGTTGAAACTGGCCACCGTGGTCTAACTTTGGTCTGGTGGACAATTAAATCAGCAATTAAAATTGTAATTATCACATTTATTAGTCCCGATGGAGAACGATTAGCTCTTGAGCTAACGTGGCTGTGAATAATACCCCCAAACACGAATTATTTTACGACATAATATTTTCGTGGTATAAGCTCCACAATTCGTCTTAATCTACATATGCTGCAGCGACGGGCTTAAGTATTTAAAGCTAAAGTTCTTTAGGAAAACACTTCTGTCGAGTTAAATTTTGACAATATTTTAAACAACGCGGAAATCTAATAATGTAATGGTTTGCAAGAGATTTAATAGACAATTTTAAGTGTGGTTTGTGGTACAAGTTCGTCTTAGTGCTGGTTGAGTAGTCTACGTTATTTAGAGTTGTCAATTAATCTGTTAAAATAAAAATGAAAATATTCTTTGAAGTTAACCTTTAAGAAACAGCCATAGTTCTAGAATAATCTCGTATTCTCTTTGTCGCCTTTATTCTATAAAACTTTAAATTTAATATCGAAAGTTTTTACGGATTGAATTTTCACGTTTAATTTTTTTTAATCTCCGATGTTTCGATTGCCTTGTTTTATGGGTAGGCCAAGTAAATGTTGAGAGAAACACGTAAATTTCTTTTAAATGTAAAAAGGTTACAATTAAATATGAATAAATGAAACTTAATATGCTTAATCAGGTAAAAAGATGCTGTGTCCCATATTTAGGTATTGGAAGAATGTAAAGTTCACTTTAAACCAGTTTTTAAAATGAAAAAATATTACCTATGTTAAAATATGTGAAATTATATCAAACGTTCTATTAACTTCCCGCCTTAAAAGTTAATAATTTTCAAGAGTAAGAAATTATAGAGTTCGGTCCGATTTTGAGAAAGCGAGTTTTCATTTCAGATCTCCACGTTTTGAGGTCCTAGGAAGCCGTTCCGACTATTCACTCCTGGACGTCCAGCTCGCGCAAGGCGTTTGTGTGTGTGTGTGTGTGTGTGTGTGTGTGTGTGTGTGTGTGTGTGTGTGTGTGTGTGTGTGTGTGTGTGTGTGTGTGTGTG